ATTATTGATTTTTGTAAATTTGCTTTTAGAAAGTACTAGAAGGTTAAGATAAATTATTATAAGCCTTGAACTGGCAAACTTGAACATAAATATGATGAATTCTGATCATGTTTGCATATTATGTTTATCACAATTTTGCACTATCCTTTTGATGGTAAAATGAAAGAAAATACATATCACATATCTAAAGCTGAATAAATAATTTCAGTCATTTTTATTAGCCTATAAAAATGAATGAAGTTTGAATCTGTTTGTTGTTTCCTGTGAATGTTTATGATATTGATTAAAAGTTAGTATTTGATCATTTTAATGCAGCTTTATGAAGATTTAGATGTGTGATATGATAGATAATAGGTTATTATATTATATTATTTATTAAATTTATAACTGGACCATTGGATCATAGTCACTGATGAAAACAATTGCCATAAAAGTTATAAGATAAACATATTGCATATAAAAAATTTAGGAACGACTGGATGATTGGATATAGCAAACAATTGTTTACAAAAACAAAATACTTTTTAAACAGGCATCCATCCAGATAATAGAAATAAAAAGCAAACTTAATTATGTTTCTAAGAACTAGAATATTTTTAATCGATTTCTATTCGTTTCAAGTCCCAATTTGACTCCTACAAAATAAAAATGATATAAGATATAATATAAAAATTATTAAAAGTTTTATCATAAAAAATAACAAAAACAGGATAAAGTAAAGTAAAACTAGTTTGAAAAATTGAACACAAGCAAAAAACATTTTATATGTAAAGCTAATAACATAAATAATAGATAGTATAAGGACGAAATGACTTACCACATAAATTATTTAGAATTCTTCATGTCGATTTTTTTTTATAAAATTTAATATTTTTATATCATTTTTAATTAAGTTAATATTAGGCATTAACTTTTGATTTTAGCTTCAAATGTCTTATTTGTGAATATTTGTGCTAATTATTAATCATTTTTTTTATAAAAGTTTATATTAATTCTTTCTCAGATGAGTCAAACTGGAATAGAAAATTCTACAAACTATGATAATGGTTTTCTTATTTAACCCATCTTTTCATCCAGGTTAAGGACCAATAATATTTAATTTTTATTAAAATGACAAACTAGGTGATCAACACAATATTGTGATACAAAATTATTTTTTAATATAAATTAAATCTTGAAAAGTGAGAATATATCCTTCAATTTAATTTAAGTTATTAATATTTTTTTATAAAGCCTTGTATTCTTATAAGAATAATCCTTTATCAAATATACTCAAACCTGTTCAATTTAATAATCAAATCAGGATTTATTGTTTTTTAATTAACATATTATTGATTATTAATTTTGAATGCAAGAAGTTACTACATAAATTGTGAATCCACAGTTTTATAAGTAAAAATTATATTATTTATTAAGGGATTTTTCAGTTTTATAATTTGAAATAATAAAGTATTCATTTAGTATTGTTAACAGGTAGAATAATGTTTAAATTTACGTTAAAATTTTACTAAATTTTGTTAAAATCTATTACATTTGCTACGTTTTGCAAAAAGAAGATAATAGTGAAAATTCATATTGGAAGCTAATAAAAACGATAAGAAAACATAATTTTAAGATTTTAAAAATTCAAGATCTAATCTGAAACTTTTAATTGCAAGTTAGAATTGAGAAAATTTTAAGAATTTGTTATTGTTAGGAAGCTATTTATATGAAAATATTATATAAATATATTTATTAATTATGAAATTAAATATTTAATAAACTTTATTGAAACGTATGGTTTCTTATATAAATTTCATCTCCAATAATCACCACATATTTGCCAAAGGCAAAAAATAAGTCTATTTGGACTTATA